GGATCTTGAAGATCAACATGCTCAATTAAGTTTGTCTCGATGCCCCGACTAAATGTATGACCCCAGATAGCTATATATGAGGTCATTGCACCACAGTAGATATATATTTGTGTTAACAAAATATCTAAGATTCTCCAAATCATCAATTCAGATCTTGACGTTTTATAGACTCAACGAGATATTATACGATGTTCCGACTAATTATTTTCATTCGTAGAGTCTCGTAGAGCCCCTATATATAACGTTGGATTTTTGGTTGTATAGACACAGTATTTTGAAACCTAAAATCTTGAACCATACGATAAATAGAGTCTTATACATGGGAGCGACCCCGATTAGCATGTGGTTAGCATCCATCATACCTCTCACGCCAAAGTCACGAGTTCAAATCTCTTGAACGATATCCTGACATATGAATCAATGTAGCTTTGTGAACCTTTATTTGAAAAATATGTTAGGTGTTCCAAGCCACCTTAAATTTCATATCAAGAAGGTCTACTGAAGCCTTACGAAACTCTTTCGCGTTGTTTTGATTTACTGTATGATGCCATAATATGTTTTCGAATTTTATTGCATCATTAAGAACATATACTTGTATTTAACAAATATAGGTTACCTAACCTTGAATATACAGGAATCCTTCTAATAGTGTGGTGGATTGGACCATTCGAGCTTGTAGAGCAATGTGAGAATTTAATACATCATACACTTAGTTTTGTTCTCGTCAAACATGACGTTTGTTTGCTGAGATCCATTAAAACATATTTCGGAACTCAGTAACTCAACGTCACGTGCAGCGGCGCCGGTGATGTAGTGGTAAGGGTGATTGCCTCTCACCCCAAAAGGCCTGGGTTCAATCCCAGTCGGTGCCACCGGAATTTTTTGAGGCATAAAATCTCTGATCACGGCACACTTAGATTTTTTCGCCGAGATGGGCACCACCGAGCAGCTCGGCATTTGATTTTGCTGGATCTCATTGAAAAACTTGCCGAGATTCAGCTAACAAACGGGAATTTTGCCGAGATCTCAGCTAACAAACATATTTTTTGCTGAATTTCCAGCAAAATAAAATGCTGAGCTGCTCGGTGGTGCCCATCTCGGCAAAAAAAATCTAAGTGTGCGGTCCATGAGTTGATGGGTCGATAGGTAGGGTCCAGGTGTGGGAGCTGCCTAACTGGTGTCGGTAGCATTGGTACTCAGTACGGAAAACAAATCAAGGAAAAAAACGTCGCTTGCCGAGATTTATCAAACAAAGTAGGCTCTGGCATATAGTAGGCTCATTGTATCTTTCCTTTTCTTCTCCGTCGCTTGATAATCCGCCAGATCTGTCCAAAAGTTCTGCCATCGGTTCGGGTTCAAACTGTTGGGCTTCGGTATCCAGGGTCACTACATCCATTTAGCTACCACTGTTTCCTGGCTGCTGCTGTCCAACGATGCATCGGCCACTACACCAGCATAAGTGCTGCTGCCTATTTTGTCACGATTTTCTTCGTCCTTCGTTTTATTCAGATCCTGTTGATTGGTTGGCTGTTTCCGAGCCATAAGCTTGGGACAGGAACTCATCCGGTGTCCCTCCGCCTTACATAGAAAGCATCTGTCCTTGTTTCTCGAATAGAACATGTTGCCCTTCCGATTGAGGAAACTAAGCGAGGAGGGAATCTCCTTTCCCACGTCAATGTAAACACCTCGCACTCATGTGAACATATCGAAGCTCAATGCAAAAGGAAATTTATCCCGAATGACTTGCTACACTGTCCCGTATGTTGCTAGCAACAACGTTAGATCCTCATCTGGTACTTCTAATGGTAAGTCATACACTCGCACGTATTGAATGTTGCCCCCCGCAATCGACATTCGTACCTCCACTACACAGATAAAAATTATGAATTTTAATTGTGATGTAAACATTCATTCACGTGGACTTGTATTTAATTTCACGCAACCGAGCAACTTGCAAACAATGTTATTTACAAAGGTGGGCTTTTGTATACTATATTTGCTGACGTGCATGAAATGGGTCAGAACTATACATGATATATAATTTAAACTTATATGATATGTGACGCTCCATTTATGTGCATCATATTGAACAGAAATGTACACTACTTTTTCGAACTGTGTACCTTTCCATGAGCATAATGGAAAGCCAATTACTCCGAGTTATGCATCAGGGCATAATGCACACTTGCTTCCGATTTAAATTTGATGAAGATCACCTTTTCCCCCGTAATGCGATATGTGACGATCATGTCCACAGGATTTGGGTCCAGTGATTTTACGAAGTTGGCTATTCCCCCCATCACAGGTTTTGGGCTGCCGTTTGGATTCCTATAGAAATTATTATTTCTACGGCGACGGCAAAGACCGAGCGGCAAGCAAGAACAATGGCACCAAATGAATACCGTGACCGAGTAAACACCTGTCGATAAAGCAAACCGAGAGAAACAAGCGGTGCTGAGTTCACAGCTGTAAGCAAACGCATCATGACATATTGTTGTCAAGACCAGTGCTGGTAAAAATAATGACTTCTACACTCAAATTAGCTTAAAATCGAGCATGCAAGATAAACCAACTACTCGCATGAATGTGTCATGACAACATATAGGGGCTTCATAGCCTAGTCTATGGCTTATATCATGTAATATAGGCTGTCACTTATACATCTAGTTTTCACTGGAAATCCTATGTATGAGTGCTCATTACAAGACAGCCTATATTACATGATATAAGCCATAGTCTATACGGGGTATAAGTTGAGAGCACGCAATAAGCTAAGCCATAAGCCTGAAATGCGAATATGAAGAAGAAGATGACAACATTATGTTGATCAAGGCAAGCGCTGAGTTTAAAACTCAACACAACATTTGTTTTTGTTCATTCGTGGATGGTTGTTCATTGTTGCCGGTGTTGTTTTTTTTTTATTATTATTAATTTATTTGATAAGGCTCAACAGAATTAACTTTACAGAGCCGAGGATTCTTGTTCAATAACAATAACAAAAAAAAATGGCAGATTCGCCAACGGGGGTCAGAGCGCTTCCAATTCAGCAATGGACGCAAAACGTGGTCAGCACTCACACATTCATCACGAAAAGGTTTCTTTCCAAAGTCGACGACGCATCGACCGAAAGAACTGCTGATGAAGAACAATGAGGAGGACCACACAATGGTTGCTGCCGAGTAAACAGACGATCGCGTGACACACATTGAGAGTGGTCTGCTTCTATCGACAGCCGAGTGAACACTGAGCCGGTTTTGTTGTCAATATTAATATTCATTTTCATCTTGGTGAGGATGATTCTGAAAAATTACCGATGTGTTTTCAGTTTCAAACATTTATATTTTTGCTTAATTCATTGTTATTGCTATTGTTTGTGCATCAGGGGTTGAAAACCTAACACAAAATATATAAGCATGCTATCAATTGACGTTTGAGCGGTTTTTATGAGTTTTATGAGCTGGAATGATTTTTTGGCGTTATTAGTGTTTGTCGCATTCGCACGCGAGTTTATTCTCGCAGAGAGGTTCAATGAATGAGATTTGAGAATGATTTTCCGAACACTAATTTTGAGTGTCAACTGCAAAAATATTATTTTCATTTTACACACTTAGCAGAACGTTTTGAGCTGCTTTTCACACTCAATGGGAAATAGTGCAGAATTGATGATAATATCGGGGTTTTAGGCTCTAGGATCGGCAATATTCAAAATAATAATTTTGACAATCTTGAGTTGAAAACTCAAGCGTTGATGAACCTTAAACAACGCGTATTCATCGATGAACAAATAAGTGATTGATACACTCCCGATCATAAGTTTGAGGTCACCCTTTAAAAAACATGTATATGTTTTTAGCTCAATCGCTGCCATTTTAAGACCGATTTTCGATCTTTATATGTCATTTGAAAGGTATTGACTGAAAATAAATTCATGTTTTTTTATCTAGTTCATTTATTTGCAAAGCTCAATTGCATTAGCTTTACGGAGCCAATAATTCAAAATTCACTTAATTCTATGTCTAGTAGGAGTTGGGCTAAATACTCACGGCTTACCGGAGATTAGAGGAGTACTACCCAATGAGATACGTTTGTGAAAGTTTAGCTGAAATTTTCAGAATATGCTTTAAATCAAACCAAAATAGTTATTCAAGTCATCGATCAAAAGTATGGGTCACCCCGCAGTGTGGTTTGTAGCTGCTGTACGTTTATTTAAAGTTTTAGGATTCAAAAATCGGAAAATATGATACGTTCATTGCCTTTCAACTAATGCAAAGAGAACAAAAAATTGACAAAAATGGCAGCGACATAAACAAAACAACATTCCCAGGTTTCGTTTTAAGCTGGGTTTAGACAGGGTAAGTCAATTGATCAAGTCAGTTGAATTCAACGCGAATTGAACGGTGTAAACCATGTCATTCAACAGACTTGATCAACTCACTTGAGTTGAAAAAAAATTGAACCAGGCTCAACTTTTGAAGCCAATTGAATTCAACTGAGTTGATCATTTGACTTTGCTTTAAGGATGATCCCACATTTTTGAGCGATTACTGTGACAGACCTTGACATCTATTTTCGAAGGAGAAAATCACATTTCCATTAGTTTCTCCTACGTTCATGATGTAATTTTTAACTCTAATGACAATATTGTAGCATGATATTATAGCTTCTGAACTCACATGGTTTCTTATGCATAAAATTTGGATGAGCCATGCTTTTTAAATTGACTTCTTAATCATTTCCACCGCATAACTGTTTTAATGAAAACAAGACAGTAGTTCAAAAGCAGGAATTGCTTATATATAAATAATAAAAAAAAATACCATAAACGAACGATATCCCAAATGATAGAACTATTACACAAAAGGATTTCATGATACCCCAAACACATCGTTAAGCAAAATACTCAATACCATTTTGATTGGGGATGCGAGAACAGTTCCTGACTCTTGTAAAAACTAAACAATAAATTAATAGGATAGCTAAATCAATCCACTGTTGCTTACCTGTGTGAGCGGATGTTGTCCTGCCGTTTGTAGTACTTGCCGCACACTTCGCACGAGTACGTCACCTCCGGGCTCTTGTGGGTGCGCTCGTGGATCATCAGGTTGTATGGCTTGGTGAACCGGCGCTGGCAGTACTTGCACACGAACTCGCACTTTGGCCGCATCTTGCGACGGAAGTCGGACCTACGGTCGTCATTGTCAATTCGCATCACGGCGAACATTTTGGTTTTTGGTGGATGTTGTTTTAACGGGTTTCTTTAAATTGAGTTGGTGGTGTGGTGATGGAAAGTTGTGGTGGTTTTCAAAGCAAAAAAAAAATGTACTGGGTGTGATGTGTTGATTGTTTACAAGATTTTTTTTTTTTTGAGTGAAAATGAGTGTTGATTTGTTTTATAGTCTGCTTACTTCGGATTAGTCACCACTTAGGGGATCCTGCACAATCCGGATGGGAACTGGTTCAGACACAAATTCGATTCCTGCGGGGGGAAAAGAAACGGAGAGAAAAAGACGATCAGCGATCATGTTGTTGTTTTATCTAAATTGCTGGAATTACTTCGCGGCGGGCGTTTGGGCGCGATGGTTGATGGGCGAGTGAAATATAAAGTATAAATATTTATACGAAATCAGTACTACAGGAGGCGTCATGTGTGAACTTGGCCCACCGACCGAGACTGACTGGAAATGTGTGTTCCCACACGTCGTCATCATCGTCGTCGTCGTCGTCGTCGTTGCCTTGCAGATCGATCGGATGCGTCATTGCCGTTCACCGGGCTAGCAACTCTATGGGACAGAGGGAGCAACCGAGAGGGCTATAATCGACATCGTTCAACTTTTATGATACCATCTGGGTGAATGGTGTGGTGTGGTGACGACGACGACGACGACGGTCGGTGGTGTATGATTATTGATCAACTACAATGTTGTCTGAATCATGGGAAAGTTGCATCCGCTGAAATTCCTACGCTGTGATACATTTCTGCTAGACGTTGGACGAATGACATATTCAACTTTCACTGTTGGAGTGACCTTTAGTGAAACCAACTGTATGAATAGTTTACAGTTTACATTTTTTCAAATCCTTTCGATTGTGCGGTTAAGATCCTAATTCCATCATACTAAGCACAACCCGCATTTTATCTCTCTCTAACGATCGGGTTTGAACAAAAACAGGAATTTTTACAGACAAACAGACATAACACATTGAATGTTTCTCACTGTAAAACATCGTCGCTAAAACATTACCACCATCTGTTAAGTACACTGGGGTGGGCAGTACGCGGAGCAGATGGTGGTAGTGTGTAAATGTCAAACGCAAGGGAATTGACCATGCGCGGTACGACCAACTAAGATTCTTTTAAATTGACCGTTAAATGCTTGTTCGATGAAGAACTTGAGAGTGTTATGTCTGCTTGTCTGTGGATGACTTTTAAATGTATTTACCTTTCCATACGTACAGTTAGATTTGATAAAGAGTAACAAATTGATGAGATATTGATTCAAATCTAGCATCGCTTCTAGACTCTGATTCCGTCATACGAGCTTCAGTTCCGTCACAACACATTGACGCGCCATTGAATTCACTTCGGTATACGAATGAAGGGAGTATGTTTAGTCGAATGCGTGGACAGAACACAAAATAAAAAAGATAAAAAAAATCATTACATCGCCTGCAAGGTCAACTTATATTATTCGCTGCGGTATTCGCTGTGGAGGATAACAGGAAATGCAACTAACATTCAATGTAATGCATTTCTGGTTTGCGTATACTGTGCAGAATTTAATAATGAAAGTTTTTTGAGGATAATCGGGCAAAGTGGATAATTGCTGTTTAAGTTTATTTCCCGTTCGTCAAACAAGTTTTCATACACTTTATTGGCCTATATCACAAACAGACGGAGCGGCTCGAAAACTTTGGTGACGAACCTACTATTGCAATTTTCAGTGTACCACATGGCAACACTACGATAGAGGTAACTCTAAGACCAGAAGGTCCCGAAGAAACGTGCTCAACTTTTTTGGTCAGCTCTGGTACATTGGAAAATCCACGAACCCCTCATTTTATCTGTCAAACTGTCATAGCGAATGCAAACAAACATAGTGTACTACTAGAATTTCGACTAGAATGGGGTACGTTAATCGATTTGCTAGGGATCAATAGGCTAGTCAAGTAGTGAGCCAATTTAAAATCGTTAGTTTCCACCGGTTGGCACTACTACCACAAACGAAGTGACAGACGACTAGCTAGCGAAGAAATCCATTAAAATAATATGGTTCGCTGTAATACCATTGAGGTAACTCTAAGACCTGAAGGTTCCGAAGAAACGTGCTCAAATTTTTGGCTCAGCTCTGGTACTCTCTTCGGTCCCAAGCTAATCGATGCACCCCTCGAAACATAGAAAAATCCACAAACCCCTCTTTTTACCTGTCAAACTTTCATAGCGAATCAAAACAAACATAGTGTAGTATTGGAATTTATACTAGAATGGAGTGCGTTAATCGATTTGCTTGGAACCAATAGGCTAGTCAAGTAGTGAGCCAATTTAAAATCGTTAGTTTCGAATTGATTGTTGGTAATACCATTTTCTCAGAAGCTTGTGCCATCAGCCACCAGATGGACTAGTATTTTTGTTTTAATTTGAACAAAGTTGATTTTGTGTGCAATGATCTTTGACAACCTATATAGTCTCAAGAGCCACTGAAGGGTAAGTTATTATCTAAATGCTAAATTAAACAAAAAATTAAACTAATTGTTACAATTTCGAAGCGAATGAAAATCTAGGTCCAAAAATCAGTGCGTTGCCTTTCGTTTGCTGTCGCAACAATCTTCAAAATGTTCATCAGTGATGAGTCATCATTCTATCACCAGCAAGAAAGATGGATGCGCTGGATGCAACAGGTCAGATGAAGCGGACAATAAGGTCCAATGTGATGCATGCGATGCGTGGTGGCACTTCAGTTGTGCAGGTGTCACGAGTTCAATTACCGATCGTAGATGGTTGTGTTCCCGATGCCAACCAATCTCTCGTACTTCGTCGAGAATCAGTGTCACGAGTCGATCTTCGTCGCATTTATCGAACAGTATGACACGTCTGCGGGAACGTCAAGAGTTGGAGAACCAACGGGCGGAAGTGGAACTGAAAAAGAAGATCTTGAAGGAGCAACAAAGACTACTGTAAGCTACGATTGCCACCGAGAAGGAGAAAAGAAGTCGAGTAAACGCGAAGACAGCATGAGAAGATTACACGATTGGATCGGGAACAGCACGGATCTGCAAACAAGCACGGCAGGAGATAATAAAATGCCTGCAGCTTCAGCGATCCAGCAGCACAACCCTCATCCAAGTCAAATGGATTCTGAAGCTGCTCCAGCTCCAGGTAGGAGGTGTCAACGAAGAAATACCGTCGAGACTTGGACATCCAGCAACATAGTTCTACTCTTGTTCTACATAGTTCCACCGATGGTGTAAATGCTTCGACGGAACCGAATGCTCCTCATGTTGATGTGGATCAACAGAAGGCTATGGACATGATTCGTGATTTGCGAGTGAGACTGAAGCGATGTCTAGAGCAATCAGAGCCAATCTTCCCTCAGTTGGCTGATTTGTAACAACACATGGAGCTATGCAGGGAGGAGATCGAAGGAATGCATTCTACCGTACAACTTTTATCGGCGGTGCCATCATCAGTTGCCCAGGTAGGGGCACTGAATGTCGACGGGACAGCTGGAAACCGAGATGACGTGCTCGTGCAAACCAGCGCAGTTGCGCTAGGTGCCATTCCAAAGCAGTACCATAGTGTATTCCCTTCAGGTAAGTGTCATGTCTCTGAAGACCGAACCGATAGAGCGAACGAAAACAATACCTCTCAACCGAAATCATTTCCAATCATGCAAATTCCCCAAACAAACAGCAGAACAGCCTCTAGAACAGCCATGAATGCAGCCTTTAGTGCGTTAGCCTCTGATGCAGCCGCTTTTGATGCAGCAGCGTTCAGTGCAGCAGCCTTCAGTGCAGCAGCCTGCAGTGCAGCAGCCTGCAGTGCGGCAGCCTTCAGTGCAGCAGCCTTCAGTGCAGAAGCCTTCAGTGCAGAAGCCTTCAGTGCAGCAGCCTTCAGTGCAGCAGCTTTCAGTGCAGTGGCCTTTCATGCAGCAGCCTCCGATGCAGAAGCCTCCGGTGCAGTAGCCTCCGATGTATCAGTCTCCGCTACCAAAACTGAACGAACAAGAAAGAGGAATAGGGCTGCTGCCCACACAACAACAATCAACCTCTCGGTAATCTTTGGCTCGAAATCTTCCTATGTTTTCTGGGGATCCTGCCGAATGGCCGATATTCATCTCCAATTTCGAGTACACGACGAGGACATGTGGCTACACTCACGGAGAGAACATGGTTCGGCTCCAAAGATGCTTGCGAGGGCGTGCGTTGGAAAGTGTTCGATGTCGTCTAGTATTTCCGGCAGCGGTTTCACAAGTGATAAAGACGCTACGGATGAGCTATGGGCGTCCGGAGTTGCTAATCAACGCCTTGTTGCAGAAGGTTAGAGCGTTGCCCGCTCCTCTAGAAGATAAGTTAGAAGTCCTTATGGAGCACGGAATGGCTGTTCAAGAGTTGTGCGACCACATTGAAGCGGCGAATAAAGGAGGTCATTCGACAGCCATTACTCGTATTCATCGGACGTGTGCTCTTTCTGCTCTGCTTAACTTGGTGAAATATTGTAGCGAAAATGAGTGTAGTTCGTAAAAACACACTTGTTGTTGACTTCAGTGTCCTTCCAGTTCGTCCCAATGCGGGAAAAGTGCAAGAATTCTTCGAGAACAATATTAAGCTTCAATATTCGGACGTTAGATGCATTCAGTTTCATAACGTCCGAAATTGTGTTTTTATTGAAATGATAGACAATGAAGTTGCCTTGCGCTATGAAAAGGCGCACAACTATAAACACGCGATTCTCTGTGCGAAGAGTGAGTTCAAAATCCCGGTATATGTGGATTGTGAAGCAGTGACCGTTCGAGTGCATGATCTTCCTCTGGCATGGCCACAAGCCACTGTTATGAACCACATGGCAAAGTACGGGACAGTGATTTCCAGTCGAGATGAGAAATGGAAGCACTACTTCCCAGGATTCATGAGCGGTGTTCGAGTTTTGCGAATGCGACTCGAAAGCGCCATTCCATCGTACATCACGGTCGACAACGAAACTACGTTGGTAACGTACGACAAGCAACAAAAAAACGTGCCGCCATTGTGACCGAGCAGCTCATCCTAAACAGAAATGTTTGGATGTAGCCACATCGAACAATAGCACCGCTCCAGCAGCTCCACCAACCGAGGGATATTCAGTCTCGCTGAATACCCCGTTTATTGATATCGAACAAAACCAGCCAACGACATCGGGTCAATCATCTCCTGATTTCACCGGGTTCTCCGCAGAAGAACAACAGCGAAACACCGACAATCAAGGATCATCACATTTCAAGC